CAATATCCAGCAAACAGATGCTTTGACTAGAAGTTTGTCTCCGAATGCAGTGGATCCAGGTTCCTTTTCCAGGAGTGCAAGTCACAGTAGCTTCGATACGCACTCTCTACCAAGGAGAACGAGCAAACGACCCCCTATTGAAGACGATCCAACAAAGGTACCTTCTATAACAAGAAGATTAAACGTGTGGCAAGAAGGATTTAGAAACCCATCTGTAAATTTTTTAGAATTACGTTCCACGTACGTTGGCGGAACAAGAATGGGAAAAGTTGCAACAAGCGCATGTTCTCGCGAACGTGCAACAGGCATTCGATGTTTCCAGCGACGCGGAAGGCGACGGTGACAACGAAAGTCTGTTCAGTTGTGCAGCTGATGTAATCAGTCCAACAGGACACACAGATGCTCAAACATTAGCGCTCATGTTACAAGAACAGTTAGATGCGATCAATAATGAAATTAGATTGATTCAGGTAACTAGATGTTCTCCGTTGTACTTCCTGTCACGATACGTCAAAGTGTACTCTTTTGATGAAGGAAGAAAAACAAAGTACCGAGGCGCGCGCTGAGGAACTGGAGTCCCGAGTTGGTAGTCTTGAACACATGAATCTGTTAGCGAGGGGGCGAAGTCTCGAACGGGCATCGCCGCCGTTAAGTGGACGATCTACTCCCAAATCGCATCATAGTCCTAATAGGGATTATTTACACAAGTATCATACTGTAAGTACCATTTATATTTCACAGATTCTTAGCAATTGAAAAGTATACTTTTAACACTTTGATGAATTTGAAGGCACCGGCGTCAATGTCTCCAGCGCATCTTCACCAGTATGCTGCCTCTTTGGTTAGTCCAGGTCAACTGTCAGAATCCCTTCCTGCGAGCCAGGTCAGTTACTGTGACTACAATATATTTTTGTAGTTGTTCGTTTTTTGTAGAGCAGTAAGTGTAATGTGTGTGCAATTTTTTATATATTATAGTTGCAGTTATCAGGTGAAGAATTGCATTCAGTGAGCGAAAGAGACAGCACTGGTGGTGCAGGAAGCGGTGGCAGCGATGCGGCTTCACCATTGACCGCTCGATCAATCAGGCTAGAACGAGTAGCACAGGCACTTGCTCACAGTCAAGAGGAGCTTAGAAGGTATGTGTTCGATTGTCAATTTACTAATGTTGAGAAAAAATTACAAATACATATATTCGTCAATTCAATAACTGTGAACAATATACTATTCGAAAAATGATACATGATGAACAACACTTTAGCAACCACATCTCTGACAATGAGGACTCTTTAGGAACATTACCGATGTATTGCTCTCTTTTTTTCCGTTAGCAATCATGTGCTATCATTATTTTTTTTAATCAATTAACGCTTCAAACAATGATATTATATAAATGGTATGAAAAGTCCTTGCATGCATAGAAGTGGAATTGCCAAAGACCCAGTAATTATTTTGTAAGTAGTTAGTATTATACGTTGTTTATGCTGCCAGACGTACTGGACAAGCCGGATTTCCCAGCAGTGGTTTTCCTGCTCACAGGTTAATTAAAGATTGTAGTACTGCATGTAATCCGCAACATATGCCGCTGTGCACGACATATTTGAGTGGTCCATGTGGGTATGAAATGAACAACCTTGAGGTCGACTTAAGTGACATCGATGGTAACAGATCCTTTTTATACGTTCTTTTGGAAAAAGAGGATTCTCTGAGATGATCTTAGATTTTGTTTTGTATAAAAAAAAAAAAAAAAAAAAAAAAAATTAAGTAGAGACATTTCCATTTTTTACTTATAACTGATCACTCTCTTACTCACAAGACAAATTGTATAATGAATGAATGGTATGCAAGGTGTCACATACATGCCTACAGCCCTAATTTTCGAGCACAGTGGTACGGACGAACCATCTGATAGATCTGATAGAAATGAGTTCCTGGAAGAAACTGATATTAGCTTCTTCCATCCATCGTACATTCAAGCCTGCCCAGTTCACGACAGACATCGCTGTCTCAGACAATCGAGGGAATTTAGACAGCCAAGAGAATTGCATCGAGTTAAGGCCGCGTCTGAATCTACTGCGCGAATAAGGTTGTTCTCTACAAAATAGATACAAAGATATAGATGGATCTGATCGATGCAACTTATAAATAATTGTATCGTCGAACAAAAAATTACAATTTTCAAAAAAATACTTTTATAAGATGGTCTCTCTATATCTTTGTCCTTAAACAGTACTTATTACGGCAATCCCATCTCATAAGCAGTGATCAGCTATATTTCCAGGTTTTTATGCCTTGCCTGTAATACTGAGTAGGTATTACAACTCTCTTTTCAATATTTTGTTGAACATAGTTGATCGGTTTAGATGTCCCTGGAAAAATATTCCCTACAATTACGATATTACGTTGTATTACCATTTACCAGATTATTCAATGAAATTTTTCCATGGGCTTCTAAAGCCATATTAGTACTGCTTCTTCTTCTCTTTAGTTCATTAGTTGTGCGTGCTTGTAGCAATTGTCGCAGAATTACTTGCAAAGAAATTTGAAGTCATCGTTAGTCGATACAACATTGTAGATATGTTGAATAGTAAAGAGTCAACGTTTGAACGCTTTAAACCGTCTGAAATAGTAATATCATTTTCATGGAAGAAAAAAAATATTTGAAGAAAGAATCATTTCTCGTATATTATTAAAAGAGCTAAATAATATTTATGCTTATGCTAATTTACAATCGTGCATAAGCACGATCATCGCTAAATGTCTTCGTGTAATGCAATTCACTTGGCTCAGTAAGTTCCCTAATCATATATTACCCAACTATGTCTCGAAGAACACACTGACATACATATATCCTTTGAATCTTAAAAAGTAATGAGACATTAGTCAACTTGACAAGTATCGTTGATAAGTTTTGGTTGTTTGACGCAATGATGTATTTTTGAAACATTTTAAAAATAATCTTTCATACTTGAAATCGATGTAAGAGTCACATAGAACATAGAGGAAAAGTAAAAAGAAAAAAAAATAGCAAATAGCGTGTGGGCCAGAATGCATTGTTTAGAGTAGAGATAGAAACTAGATTAGCGCTCCATGCAGCAGGCATGGGCAACATAACAACGGCGCACTCAATTCTGGGACTCCCCCTTCCCCATTGTCCTCACGTCATAGCAGCCAGGACAGTTTGCACAAGAACAACTTGCCTGGTGTTGGATTGCCAATTGGACAATTGTCTAGCTCGCATTTGCACATGCAATCCACCATGAGCCCGGTAACAGCGGCGGCAGTGGCTGCAGCTCAGAAGAAGAAGGGCATTAAGAGCAGCCTTGGTAGATTTTTCAGCAAGAAAGAAAAGGTGATGCATATTGTAATTACGCGTAAGACAATAGCATCATAATTAAGAAAATATTTCAGAATAAAGGAGAATTTCAATTAATTTGCAGATCAAGGGAAAAGATACGCCTATGCCAGGAGATGTACCAGGTATGGGAGGAGCAAGCACCCCTGCAGATCCTGATTATGGGGATACCGTTTCTGTAGCTGGAACCATGGGCAGTAAGAGCGACTTCGATCGTAGAAAAAAGAAAAGGTACTTGGATGTAGTCACGTCAGCAGTCGATAGTAATTATTTAGCGTAATTGTTCTCGTACGAATTGTTTTACAGTCCTAGTATGTTTGGAAGTATGTTAGATTCCTCGAGGCATGAACTTTTGGCTGAGGCGATGAAGGCTGGAACACCTTTCGCTCTGTGGAATGGACCGACAGTGGTGGCCTGGTTGGAGCTGTGGGTGGGCATGCCTACTTGGTACGTCGCAGCTTGCCGAGCAAATGTCAAAAGCGGTGCCATCATGAGTGCTCTTAGTGATACTGAAATTCAGCGTGAAATTGGTATAAGGTATGCAGCGGGAACAAGTTGTAAGACATGATATGAGATGATGGATACTATATACGGTATACTTAATTTAATAACTTGTATCACAGTAATCCTTTGCATCGATTGAAACTACGATTAGCCATCCAAGAAATGGTGTCACTCACAAGTCCATCAGCACCGAAAACCTCTCGCACAACCTTAGCATTCGGTGATATGAATCACGAATGGATTGGTAATGTTTGGCTTCCGAGTCTTGGCTTGCCACAATATCGATCCACTTTCATGGAGTGCCTTGTTGATGCTAGAATGTTGGATCACCTTACCAAAAAGGACCTTCGTGGTCAACTTAGAATGGTTGATAGTTTTCACAGGTAATTCATTGAAAAGAAGAATGGATTGTTGTTGCTAAATGATTATTTGGACGTTTCGATATTTAAATTTAATTCATTTCTGCAGAACAAGTTTGCAATACGGCATTTCATGTTTGAAGCGACTGAATTATGATAGGCAACAATTACAAGAAAGAAGGCGAATGGCAGAAGCTGCCAACGTCGATGTTCTTGTATGGAGTAATGATCGTGTTATTAGATGGGTGCAATCTATCGGCCTGAAAGTAATTTCATCTTACATATTTCTGGTGTTGTGTTGTTCATTGGTATTACACTGATGATAAAATGTTCATTTTATGCTCTTAGGAATACGGGAACCACCTTTTGGAATCTGGGGTACATGGAGCTCTTATGGCTCTCGATGATAGTTTCGACGCGAACAGTTTTGCTCTAACTTTGCAAATTCCAACCCAAAACACACAAGTGGGTTACCAATTTCAACGAATGATTATAAATATTAATTCAAAGATTCGTGTGCTCAACTTAACTATTATTCTTCTTGCGTTTTAACAGGCTCGACAATTGTTAGAGATGGAGTTTGCAAATTTATTAACCGTAGGAACAGAGAGGCGACTCGATGATGCGAACAGTATGAAATCTTGATCCAACTCGTCTAGCAGGCTGCCTCATCTTCAACCACATCACGTCTAGTCCAAAACCCCAGCTATTACTACTCTCTGTACGCAAGTGTGTTGTAAAAGTTGTAAGAGCTTTAAGTATCATTCTAAGGGTATCTTCATACTGTTAAGAGTTGTAACACGCGGTTGTATGAAACAAACGATCGGACATAGACTGTTAAAAAAAGAAAATGGAAGGGTGATTTATCGTATGTTCAACAAGAATAAATTTAAAGCATTTTATCGATTCTTGTGGCGCGTATGTTTTATAAACCGCCTGTTACGTAATTTCGATAAAGAAGGAATAATTATTCTGAATCAATTGCTCTCATATAGATACTGAAATGTAGTGAGCGGTCAGGGAATCGTAAAATATATATATATATTTTTCCTCGAAAGCCAGAGAATCAGTTATATGTAATTACGACAATAATTCTGTCTAATTTTATCTTGATTTTTTAAGGGTAGCGATTTGTAGTTTCGAGGGTAAATTAATATCATGGTAGTTTATAAAACACTTTCACGACGCGATCGCGAATATTTCTTATACTATATTATGTGCTTATACTATGTAACAAATAGTTGAAACAACATCTATTTTGATAATAACACTTACCGCACAAAATAAAAAATCCTGAAATTATATTAGTGCCATTGCTCTCGAGGAAACTATTTATGTACAAGGAAAAGACTG